TTAAGGTAAACACCAAAGATGCCCTAATTTTTTAGACTGCACGGAGCAGCATTATAACAGAACCCTAAAATATATTTAGTATGATGATCCCAACCGGAAAAGGTGGAGCGTGGCATAATACTAGCTCTTATTTTTTTGTCACATTGCTTTTATGTCTCATTAGCAATAACTTTAATGTTCTCACACCGAGACGTTTTTTGCTCGCGGTTTCCATCGTTTAACGCCTCGTGACTAAATAAAGGGTGTCATTGTGATCGTGCACACCAACACGTAAAACAGTAGGCGTAAAAGCGCCATTTAAAAAAAACAAAACGCCTCATTCTCGTTTTTTTATTTTGACTCGCCGCGTCAAAACCTTCTCCACCAATCAGGTTGCCACTTTTGTTCACGTGCAGGGAGCTGCTGAAGTTACAGTAAACAGCACTTGGAGGCGCTCAAGTGCAAAACTGTCAATGGGAGCGCTGCGATGCGAAACGCTAACGATAAACGCAAATGAAAAGCATCCCAGTGTGTAAGAGCCTTTATTCTGCTTCACACAACCAAGCTAATACATTCCTTTTATACTTTAGCTCATCCACAAACATTTCTGCAGAAGTGGTGTAGGATGTAATGAAAACCATAACTCCCATTATTCCACACTCACACCATGTCCACACATAAACAGGGTATTTTATAAAACCAGCTTGTGTTTTAAAAACAATCTCTGTCCACATGAAACAGAAAATTGCACTGTGATCCATGTTAAGGGCACGCCGAACCAACTGGCAGAGATTGACACATTTGCTGGGTTCACACCAAATGGGGAAGTATTTTTGCAGGTAACTTGCATACAAGTAAATGCAAACATGAGAACAGGTGGATTACCCTCCTGTGGTGCGAACTAAGCAATATATGCAATATTTTTGCTGTGAACGTGCAAAATTTGCCGCATTCAGATCTTCCGCATTTGATGTGAACTCAGTCTTGTAGACCAATCAGAAAAACATGAGGCAAACAATGAGGTGAAGTCCAGTTGTAGTGTCCACACCAGACCCAGAGTTTTGGAAAATCTTAACCCTGGCTGGATTTTCCACTCGAAACTGTTTTCATGTGGAAAAACCTCACAGAAAAAAGTGGTTTAGAAAATAGCAGTGCTTGTGTGGACAGGGCATTAGCCTCATAAAAATCTGTGTTTGTTTGTTGTGAATACACACCCTCTAGCAGTAAAAATGACATACTGTGCCTTTAATAATAAATTGTTGTAACAAGTACTGACCACCATCCCAATGGTGTTCATTTGTCCTCCTGGAGCCATTTCTATAGTGTCATCAACGACCAGATTCATGAAGGGGTCAAATCCACGCAAGATGCCCTGAACATGGCGGCCACCGTTGAGCTTTACTGAAAGTGCACATGAAAACATCAGCTTTAAAAATAATGCACATAAAAGCCATACAAATGAAAAGTGTCAGGCGTTCATTCAGATTCATGTCAATTATTTAAATTTCTATAATATCTTTGCATAGAAAGCCACATTAATTCATTCAAAATGTGCGTACACTTTTTGTATTGAAGTCGAATAGGATCAAATGAATCATTGTTTGTTCTCTAAAACATAAAGCTAACATAAAGCTGAAACCACACTTCATGTGATCAGAAACTTCTCATTAATAAGTGATTTTTTTATATTATTGATAAAACCCACAGGCAAATAAAAAATAATGCATTACTTTATAGTTATTAATAACATACCACACAAAAATTAAATATATTGATATAAATATACATTTAAATTCAACAAGGTACAACATTTATATCAAATGTTCACAAAAAAAAAACTTCACTTGCAAAATGTTTAAAAAAAAAAAAACCCGAATAAGTTTAACTTTTGTGATTACTTTAAACAGAAGAAAAAATAAAACTCTGTAATATAAGAACAGAGGCAGCTATAAATACATAGTATAAATACATCATTGAACGTTTTTATTGAAATAATATTAATATATATTAGAGCTGCACAATATATCACTTCTTGAGCAATGATATTGAAATGTGTGCATCTGCATTAGTTACATCGCAAGATAGGCGATAGTTAGGATTATAGATGACCACCAGAAACCACTAGTCAAAACACACAAGATTTGTGGAGACACTGCAGAATTTAAGCACAATAGAGTGAAAGTTTATCATCACTTTAAGGCATGTGGCTGAGCATTTGAAGAGAGTTTAAAACATTAGTAGTGCATGAAAATGTTTAATAAAGATTAATTTTATTAAAATTTGTGTATGGTGAAGACTACACAGTGCTATTTTACATTTGATTATTCGATTTCAGTACCTGAATCAGGGTTTCTGCAGGTTATACAGTTAAATTTAATTGTTTATAAAACCTTTATTAATTACATTTTAGACCCATAAAGTGCTAAAAGCTAAGGAATTTTTCAAATAGCCCTGATGGAAAAGATTTTTATTTGCCCTATCAAAAACATTATTATATTTTAATACATTTAATAATACAATAATAATAAAAAAATATATATATTTCCGATTTTATTTCTTAGCAAAATATTGTGTAAAAACAAGCAAGCTCTAATTGTATCTATACACTTTTTTCCTCAACATAAACTTTCTTTAAAATAAAAAAAAGAACAAATATTTTAAAACTTTTAAAAACTACAATAAACTAAATCTATGCACAACAATCTCTCCTGTTCAGTGTCCTCAGTAGTAAATACATGGAGAACTTTTAAACACATGTTATTGTATGGAAAATAATTAAACCATTATGGTAAATAGATTAAAAATTACCTTTTTAAATAAAAAGTTTAAGGTTTTGTTGAGAGGATTGTTGGTGATTGTATGGGTGTTAATGGCCAGACTGGGTAGCAACACATGACTTTAAAAAAAAAAAAAAAGAATCAAGACCTACACAATACAATATTTCAGTCAAATTAATACTTTTTAATGGCCAAATTTTGGATTTTGACATTTAAGACACTGTGGAAACCCAACTGAGTACTGTTAGACTCTCAAGAAACCCATTAAGGACGGTTTATTTCACTTTAATAATTACGTTACCCAATTGTGTGTGTGACTAGTTTGTATAAGAAACTACATTAAAATGTATATTTAAATTTCACTCCCCTACAAAACCACTTTTCAAATATTTAATTACTTAATTACAAAAAAGAAAATATCGCAATGTATAGTTTTTTCAATATCGTGCAGCCCTAATATTGAGCTATAATTCATATTTTAACTGGAAAGAGAAACATCTAACGTTATTAAAAGATTACTCACGTGAAAGCTTCTTGTCCATAAACCTAAGAGGGGAAAAGGCACTTTCTTAATTCACAATAGATACACCACCAAACTGAAAGCTAACTCATATAAAATATATCAAAATGGATTAGCAATATAAGTTATGCTTGATGTGAAAATAAAGTAATTTAGCCGTTAAACTGAACACACACCGGCTAACGTTAATAAGTTGCCCATGTTAAATACTTCTTAATATCAAATTTCTAAAAAACTCAAGAAAATACTTGAAATACTTACTTTTTCAGCTCGGGTGGATGTGCTTTGCTCATGTTTATTTAGTGAGATATGCTAGTTTTGTCAAACAAATACGTTTGAATCACGTTTCAAGCGTTGTTCGGAGAATGAGTGAAATGCAGGAAGTGACGTTTTGGGTCGCGGGATTTTTCCCTTGTACTAGCACCATTGAGTAATATTGCCCTCTACTCCGGCGGATGATGAACTACAACAACAACAACATATCGACAAGGTCGCTGGTTCGAGTCTCGGACTCTCGGCTGGGTCAGTTGACATTTCTCTGAGGAATTTGCAAGTTCTCCCCGTGTTCGAGTGGGTGTCCTCCGGTTTCCCTCACAGTCCGAAGACATGTGCTATAGGTGAACTGAATAAACTAAATTGTCTATAGTGTATGAGTGTTTCCCAGTACTGGGTTGCAGCTGGAAGGGCATCTGCTGTGTAAAGCATATGTTGTATAAGTTGGTGGTTCATTCTGCTGTGGCGACCCCTGATGAATAAAGGGACTAAGCCAAAAAGAAAATGAATGAATATTATACAGGCCCATAGCCAGCCTGGTAAAAGGGGTGGTTCTTTTTTCTAAGTAAGTTTACCTTTTTGCAGGTATTTGCCTCATTTTCTATTTAATTATTAGATATACTGCATTTTAGTGATATTTTAAGCACTATCTTTAGCTGAATTAACCTGTCGAATAGTCATCATAACCACAATTTTGATGAATCAAAATATTTCCTAAAATTTTGGAATAAAGAAAAATAAATAAATACATATTTTTAAAAAACAAATGTTACAGCCAATATTAATTAAAAAAAAGGAATCTATTAATGTTTAAATTAAAAACTGTAGCCTATTATAGCGACATTTATTGGGCAAACAACAACTTGGCCAGCTCATTCAACTGTCCTCAGTTAGAATTTGCCCATTTGAATACATATTATTATTAATAATCAAAGGTTCAAAACTGATAAGCTGAAGTCACACCGCAGCAACAGCCAACAGAGGATTACAATTGGTTTTAAGACCCTTTTTGCTTAGTTATTTTTACAATTTATGAAGCATAGCAATTATAATGAGACAAACAAGCTCATATATGGAACAAATGTTGGACCTTTGTTAGTGAGGGGTAGGTCTTTCGAACCCCTCAAAGCCTATTGAGGTAAAGTTAATTTTTATATTCGCACATTCACACTTTCTCCTTAATAATATAATTTCAGAGAAGTATTCACTGCAAATTCTAAATAGTGAAATCATATTAGCAGCCATCAACCATCAAAGTGCAACATTGTTGACAGTCAATTTAATATTGGTAATGTTGCTTTAAAGTCATATTTACATCTGATTTCAGTCCGAAAATTCAAAGTACCACGGTAAACAATATATGGAGCTGTCACTGAACGAATGTGCGAACTTTACCTTAATCCAACCCAACCCCCCGGCTTAGGGCCTGTTATAAATCCAAAACTTACAAGAATATTTTAACCAATTTATTCAAAAATAATTTCAACGTACATAGTAACATGAGGTAAATTTTCTGACAAACATTAGTCAAAAAAAAAAATCAAAAAAAAAATCACACATTTTGGGACAAAGCAGGTGATACTTGAGGTAGCCGCAAGTAAACACAGCCAGAGATTAATGCACAGCTAAACTGAAACATCTATATTCACAATAGAAAAATGAGGTACATTCACTCATCTCATACAATGTGAGCCATAAAGGTACATTTAATACAGTGTTCAAGGACAAAAAGGTCAGTGCATAATAAGAAAAAAGCTGATACGTCACTGCAGCCTATCTGCAAAAGTGTTAGCTGTGTTATACAAAAAGTTAATGCAGATTATAAATTTTACATCATATTACAAAGGTTAGGAAGCCCAAGCAAGAAAAAAAGAACAAAATTTTTCTGCTGCAAAAGTCAGCGAAACGGACAGATCTGAGGTCTCAGTTCATTCTCCAGAAAGAAACTGAAAATATACTTGCAATTTTTGGTCTGATAGCATAAAATGTCATATTTATATATATAAAGCAAGCGACTGTAATGCTCCAACATGTTATATTTTATTCCCAATGTTTAGCAGCAGGCATCTGACTGGGTGTTGTTTTGATGCTGTTATGAAAAATAAAGCTTACTGTATTACGTTTGCTCAACACAAACTGAATAGTCAAAATCAAATCTCAAAGATCAACAATTATCAATTAAACAAATTTAATTGTGTTTGTGCTTCAGCTCGCAAGACATTGGCCATATATAAGACTTTATACTTTTGTTCAATATATGCCATATATACACAAACACATGTAATGCATATAGGTTTTATGTGTGGAAGTGTGGAAAACATTCATCCTAAAGATAAACTACATGCAAAGTGGAAGTGGTTTTAATGAGGTACCAGTATCTGATAATGCAATCGGCTTCTTATTATTGAAGGAAACATGTCATAACCTAGAAAAAAGACGATAAGAGTGTGTTTTCATGGAGTTTTACAATGAGGAATTTATATTGATGATAAATTACAGTTTTCTACATCATAAATCACACATTCTCATGCAGTCAACTATTAGAAATGTATGTTTTATGAAACACGCACGCATGCACGCACACACACCAAAATGTATTTTTTTGTGATAGATGTTTTGGTTATAGTCTAATTCAGTGTTTCCCCAACTCTGTTCCTGAAGGCACATCAACAGTACCCATTTTCAACCTCTTCCTAATCAAACACACCTGAATCAATTCAGCAGAACATTAGAAGAAACTTCAAAATCTGAAGGTAACAGGTCAGATGAGGGAGATAACCAAAATATGGACTGTTGGTGTGCCTATAGGAACATGGTTGGGAAACACTGCTCTAATTTAGACTGTAGAGCAAAGCATTATATTGTTGAGTTAGGTTTACCACAGATGTTTCAATAATTATAATAAGAAAATCTGCATTATAAAAATCTTGAAAAGATGCAGCCCTCCAGGAATTTAGTTTGAGACCCATTATCTAAAACAGTGGTGTCCAGACACTGTCCTGAACGGCTGGTGTCCTGCATATTTTAGTTCCAACCCTTATTAAACACACCTTAACCAGCTAATCAAGCTCTTCCTCTGTACACTAGATTTCCAGGTAAGTGTGATGGAGGAAGTTGGAGCTAAACTATGCAGGACACAGGCCCTCCAGGACCGAGTTTGGAGACCCCTGATCTAGAACAATGGTCTCAAACTCAGTTCCTGGAGGGCCGCAGCTCTGCAGAGTTTAGCTCCGACCACGTCCAACTTACCCCCGCTCAATAGTCTCCAGTAGTCTTCAACACCTTGATTAGTTTGATCATCTGTTTGATTTGGGTTGGAACAAAACTGTGCAGAGCTTCGGCCGTCCAGGAATCAAGCTTGAGATCCATGTTCTAGATTGTGACCTCATTCCATCTCCACTCTATAATGTGTCTGGTTATTTGGCTCAGTTTAGTTAGTTAGTTAGTGCGAGTTATCCTGTGTACGCCTTACAATATTATGAACTACATAATCAGTAAAACACTGATAACATCAAGACAAACTACTCAACCCAAGAAGACCTGATGAATGTAATTCCTGAAAAATGTGTCCATATTTGAGCAGCTCACACAAAAATGTTGTTCCACACTTTTAGGAATTATTTTTTTCAGTAGAACATAAGATTTTTTTTTCAATAATATAGGTAACACATTTTGGATCCCATTCAATTCCATATATGAAAAAACACAATGGAAACCATTAAGAACTGAAAACAATTTAGCAACCAAAACATCTCCTGTAGTGTTCTACATGGGAAAGAACATCAGAGTGGTTTGAAACGACACATGGGTGAGAAAATGATGGCATAATGCTTATTTTGGGTCACTAAAAAACAAAATAAATCATTATTTGCTCACCCTTGAGCTGTTAAAAACACATTCTTAAAGGGATAGTTCCCCCCAAAATGAAAATGTAGTCATCATTTACTCACCCTCAACTTGTTTCTTTCTTATAATGAAAAATATATTTTGAGAAATGCGGGTTACTGCTGGTTTCCATAGTAATTTCTTTCCTACTATGTAAGCAAATGGGTGGTAGCAACCAGCATTCTTCAAAATGTCCTTTGTGTTCAAACTCATAAAGGTTTAAAACCACTTGAGGGAAAACAAATGTGGTCGTTTTCATTTTTTGGGGTGAGCCATTGCTTAAAGTTTCTCCTGCTCAACCCAAAAGACGACATTTTAAACAATATGGGTGGCCAAAACAGCTATTGGTCCCTACTGACTTCTACTTTTCCCATTTGTAAAAATATCTTCCTTTAATCTTCAACAGAAGGAAGTGAAGTTTAGAACATCTCGTGGGTCCTCCTTTACATTTTTGTGTGAACTATCCCTTAAACTTCAAGTCATTTTTAATTTTTTTTTGCATTTTGTCTAATAATATGCAACTATCTTTTGTTCTCAAGAGGAAAAAATGGCAAAAAAGCAAACTCTTTCAGTCATCACTGAACTCATCCTCATGTTCACGTATCAGATGTTTCTGGCAGTGCTCTAGAAAAGCATCCAGAGCTTTGAAGGTCTCAGCACATGGCACACAGTGATAGACTTCCCCCTCGAAGCCATCTTCAGGAAGCATGTGTAGAGGAATCCCGCCTGAACACACACTACAACACCTGCACGTCTCGGCCGGCTCATCATCTACTTCCGCCGGCAACTGATCATGGATTTTCTCATGAACAAACAGAGCAGCTGTGGAACTGAAGACCTGATCGCATGATGTACAAGGGTACTCGGCATCCTCGTCTTCCTCATCATCATCACTATCATCTTCCAGTGTATTCTCTTCCACTTCCTCCTCTTCTTTAGTTTCCTCAATGTGAACAGGGAGAACTTTCTTCGGTCTTCCTTTCTTCCCTTCAGGTTTATCTTTTTGGAGCTTTCTTGCGGGCTTCAGCTTGAGCTTAGCAGCGGTTGCATAAACACCGGTTGATTTGTTACTTAATTTGAGGTGCATCTCATGGTGGACGGTGTAGTTTCTAAAATGCGCCAATCTTGTCAGATGATGCAGGAACTCGGCTCCGCAGTGCAGGCATGGATATATCCCACTTTTCCGCTTCCGTCTGGTGATCTTCCCTGAGTTTCTAAACGTATTCCTCACCTTTACATCCCGTCTGTGTTCTTCCTTCCTATGCCGATGGAGAAGCGATGTCTTGGAAAACGATTTATCACAGGAACGGCATTGAAAGAGCGCACTCGAGACGCTCTCATTCCTCTCCATATTCCCAAAATGCACATCCTTTTCTAAATTCGCGCTTCTTTTTCTTGGTGCGTGGGAAAAGCGCATGTGGCAGGCAAGACCTCTGGGGGCACGGAAAGTTTTAGAGCACAGGGTGCATGTGGCTTTTTGTTTAAATGGTGGCAAGGAAGCAGCTTTGAGAGTGTTCGCAGGCTGACAGTCTCCGGCCTGCTGGTGGTGGAGCAGATCTTGTTTGTGGCTGAAGGCTTGTCCGCATGGGCTGTTGCCTTGATGGATGGGATCTTCTGTGCAGTTGGGAACTGAGGGTTTACTCCCACAGGAGGCGCATGAAGATCCCTTTGGCATTTTCCCATTGCATGTTTGGCACACGGATAAAGAACGAGGGCATTTGTGTAACTGCAGACTGGAAAGCAAAGCGAACTGTTGGTTACACCGTTGACAGCTGTGGAGTTTTTGCAGGGTGCGCTCTTTTTGCTGGTGACGCACAAGAGCGTTCATTTCGGAGGGTTTCTGGCTGGCGTCCTTGCAGATGGAGGAAGACGTTTGTGATTTTGGTTTGTACTCCATGCAGGTGATGAGCTGAGCCAGTTTGGATAAGGTTTCGGACATGGGTCTTGATCTTTTAGAGATCTGATTAGCTCGTGATACATTCCTCCAGTTGCAGTGTACGGACTCCATATTCCTAGACACAATTTGGTAGGGAACAAACGAAGTGGATTAATGGCATTGAATCATAGTTATGATAAGAAATAGTGCATTTCTTTCAGCAAAAATTAGATGCAATTCCCTAATTTTTGATTGATTTAACCTGTGAGAGTTTAACACGGTAAGCTAAACATTGTTGTGTATATTATTTGTTTATTTTGATGTCCTTTTGTGTTTGTGTGAAACGTTTGGTTTGTATCCTTTAGTATTCATGGTGTTCAATAAATGAAATGCATGGACATCAGTATCTGGAAGCGTGGACTGTTTTAATAACCGGCGGGTAGCTACAATTGTGTTTCGCATTTTTACATATTTGGAGATTGTAAAAGATGTTCTTGGAGAGATTTAGTAATTCTTTGTTTTGCAAGTATCATGTTTTAAATTCACATAAAGACAGTGGAATCATTTATAAAGTCATGAAATATGTTCAATGACCTTTCTAATAATTTCTTTTAATTGACAGTAACCAATAATTAGTTGAGTAAATGAGTGTCAAATCATCACATGAGACCTTGGACTACTAAACCAATCAGAAGTGTCAATATTTGGAAACAGACTTATGTATTAGCTGATGTATACTTGTACGGAGACCCGGAAGGGACGTGATGATGGGAGACAAATGGGTGGGAGATGATGTTCCCCTTGCAAAACTGTTGTTCCACAAACACTTCCCGTTCACTTCATACATGTCAACCCTCTGGTTTTTGCCAGGATTCTCCCGTATTTTACCCTTTCATCCCGCTATCATCCTATTTAAGTATTAACCATATTTCTCCCCTATTTTAAATCTTGAAAGCACGTTGAAATTAATATAAAAATGCATCTGCATTCAATTTATTTCCATCAAAGCTGTGCATAGATCATTACTCTTCCTATGCAGCCGAATCAGTGAATGTATGTACAAGCGCTGACTGACAGACGCACTCCTTATGATAAACTGATCCCAGATCAGCTTCTGTACACGCCATTTAAAAAGGAGCTAAAGTGCAGCACACTTTGGCATTTGGGTGTGTGTTTAAACAAATACTCTTAATAATATGTAAACATGTCCATCCTCCGTGTTTTATTTTTATTTTAAACAACAATTTTTCTCTTAAATGAGCACAAACAGTTACTAAAGTAATCTAATATTATCAAATAAAACAAAACAAAAGATTAATTTGCTGCTGGTACTTGTATATTTATGTATTGTATCACGTATACTAATTAGCATTTCTTTTTATTGACAATAATAATGTTTAATATCATCATGTGTGACAACTGAATCATAAGTGTCATGGAAAATTTAGATTTATGTATTATCTGAAAGCATTTTCCTTTGATGTATATTTAATATAAATAGCTATTTAGACAGGGGCGATGCAGTGGCGCAGTAGGTAGTGCTGTCGCCTCACAGCAAGAAGGTTGCTGGTTCGAACCTCGACTCAGTTGGCGTTTCTGTGTGGAGTTTGCATGTTCTCCCTGCGTTCGCGTGGGTTTCCTCCGGGTGTTCCGGTTTCCCCCACAGTCCAAAGACATGCAGTACAGGTGAATTAAGTAGGCTAAATTGTCTGTAGTGTATGTGTGTGTGTGAATGTGGATGTTTCCCAGAGATGGGTTGCGGCTGGAAGGGCATTCGCTGCGTAAAAACTTGCTGGATAAGTTGGCAGTTCATTCCGCTGTGGCGACCACGAATTAATTAAAGGGACTAAGCCGACAAGAAAATGAATGAATGAATGATTATTTAGACGAGATACAACTATTTGAAAATCTGCACTCTGAGGGTTCAAACAAATCAAAATACTGCGAAAATCACCTTAAAACGTCAAAAGAAATCAACATTACTAATCAAAAATTGTGTTTTGATATATTTATGGTAGAAAATTTACAAAACGTCTTCATGAAACATGATATCAGGGAAGATCTGCAGGTTTCATTGATTCAAATGTCAGACTTTAAGACTCTTTTAAATTCATTATGAATAAGACTTTAGACTTATACGGGGCCAAACACTAAGGATTTTTTTGTAATGGCCTGGTTGGACCAATGGAATTGGGAAAAAACTAATTTAGTTATTTCTTAACCACATATTTTAATGTATCAAAACAGGAAAACTCTAACTTGACGCTGACTTTTTTCCAACATAATGTTCTTTTTGTTTTGTTTTTTAATGACAAGTTTTACATTGCTAAAAGTATATTTATAATGAAAAAAAACAACATGAATAATCAAAAATATTTGTTGGCTTTAGGTGCAAATGAACTGAGTATGACTCCTATTCAACCGAATGCAAATCTGTTATAAAACTTGAAGTTTCATGCCTATTTATAAACATAATGTCCACTCAATTTCTTCAGTAAATAGTTTTTGTGTAAATGGAAAATTATGTAAAGGAATACATCGCTGTTATTATCATGAGGAACTGGTTTTTAGTTTTCTTTTAGTGATTAGGGAATTTAATTTAACAAATTTGCAGTAAATTGTCTAACAGTTGTTGTGAAATAAACATCTCTGCATCAATATTTAATATATATATATATTAAAAATAGGTTTTATAAATTATTTAATAATAAGAATACATTTTATTTAAAGGTGCCTTTCTGGCAACTCAAGTACACTGTACAATAAACAAGAGCAATAAAACAACAAAAAAAGTAATATAAAAGTATACACATCACGGGTGCAGACAATTAAGTATTAAAAGCCACCTTAAATAAGTAAGTTTTCAGTCTTGTTTTGAATAATGTAAGGGAGTCAGTGTTTCTGATGGCAGGTGGTAGTGAATACCAAAGCCGGGGAGCAGAGTGTGTTTGCAGAATGGCTGAATGCTGTATGGACGATTGACAAGTGGAGAGAGTAAGATCATCTCAGGGTGCGAGAGGAAGCAGCAATGTGGATGAGGGCAGACAAATTTAAATAGACTGTTGGGGATTTGACGGGTGTTAGCCTGACTGAATAAATTAACTTCAACAACATTTACATTTAAGACCTACAACACAACATTTCTGTAAATTTAAGACCTTTTAAGGCCTAAAAATTTTGTATTTGAAATTTAGAACACTTTCAGACCCTGCGGACACCCTGTAGATCTACTTATTATTCTAATGTTTAGATTTTTATTTTGGCATAACAGAAAAATAAATAATTTTGACTCAATATAAGGTATTTTTGGATAATTGTCAAAACATACAATTTTAACATGGTTTTGTTCTGCTCAACATGTTCAGACGTGTTTGTGTGTCCAGGGTCAGATATCAGTCTGATTTCTGAAAGATCACGTGACAGTAAGAAGCGCAGTAATGGCTGTATAAAATTCAGCTTCACATGAGTAAACAACATATCGCCTTTTATAATATAATGCAGCGAACAGTTTACGCAAACAACTGTGCAAAAAGAATGATTTAAAACAATGAATACAATGCATGTACTTTGCAACACAACGTAGATAAACTTCGTAAAGCAACAATGATACAGGAAGAGTTTGCTAGCTGTTTAGCTACGCAGCTGACATAGAAACTCACCCACTCGATGACGTTGTATCGCACAACATGGGTCTCTCGACCGTATTTGTGGACATTGCAACGGCTGTTCTGAGGTTCAATAACGTTAAATGCACGAAATTCTGAAGCGAGATGCAAACGGACTGTCACTTCTACAACCACGCGCTTCTAACTTAGTTCAGGCAGTTTGGCAAACTACAACTCCCATCATCCATTGCGAGCAAGTGTCACAGTCGCTACTGCTACTACTTCTTCTTGATGTTTAATTGGCGGTTCGCATTCTTACACACAGCATTACCGCCATCTAATGATTGGATCAAATACACGTATACCTTTACTTCTGGACTAGTCAAGATAAAAATGGTAAAATGTTATTTGCTTTATTCTATAAAGTTCTTTCGAATATAAAATAAACACTGTCATTTAATGTGTGTTTTTTGACAAGTTTATCAGAATAACAAATGTTTTGTTAAATGTTAAAAATCAACGTTCTTTTACCAAATATTGGTTTCTTACAACATTGATATTGTGTTGTCTAAAAACAATATATAAACAAATCTAAAAACATTCATTTGTAAGAAATGCAATCAGTAGTTTGCAGAATCGTTTAAAATTGTTTTCCTCAAACTCATAGCTTTTCCCAGAGATGGGTTGCAGCATGGCATCCGCTGCGTAAAACGATGGATAAGTTGGCAGTTCATTCCTCTGTGGCGACCCTAGATTAATAATAAATGGACTAAGCCGAAAAGAAAATGAATAAATGAATGAAACACATAGCTTTATTGGCATTTAGAGAACATAAAATAAAATAATGAATATAGCAAACTAAACAAATAGATAAATAAAATAAATAGATAAATATTAACAAAATAAATTTTGTAAATGATTAAAAAATGGTCAAACTGAAGTAAGTAATAATATACAGCTATTTAATATAACGTTGTCAATATATTGAAATTGAAATAAATCAATAACTATAATAATAACTATAATAAAATGTAAATAAATAACACAAGGGCTGCACGGTGGAGCAGTGAATACCACTGTGGCCTCACAATAAATGAATGAATGAATGTAAATAAACAACACAAATATCATAGTCAGTAAATCCTACATAATCTCTTATTGTTCTGGGTTCATCAGAGGTTTACACTGGAAGAAGGTTGTCGTTGCATAACCATTTTTTAATACAAACAAATTTATAAAGGTCTCATTTAAAATTCTGCATGAATTTACCCTGTCAAATATTTTATTTTCAAGTTTAGACAGGATACATTTAGATCCAATTTATGAACCAACATGTCGCCACAGCGTAATGAACCAGCAACTCATTCGGCATATGTTTTATCCAGCGGATGACCTTCCAGCTGCAACCCTATTCACAATACAATACCATAAATAATAAAACATCATCATCCACCATTTTGAACCTTTTATTTCCTTGATGGATTTTGGTAATTTGTTCCACATGATTGCACCTGTATATGAAAACATATTTTTCCGTCTAGACTTCTAAATTTAAATAAACAAACATTAAGATCCCAACCTCTAGTATTAATAGTTCAGCAAAATAGTTCAAATAACTAGGCACCACATTATTAAACAGTTTACATATCATTCCCAGTTTTAAAAAGTACTCTTTTACAAACAGTTAACATGCCTAATTCTTAAAAAAAACTCTTTGTGAAAATGTGCTGTAGGATGAATTTTTTTTTACTAATTTATTTTGTGCCTTTTGCAATTTTTCCTTCATACTCAGTGAGCAGCTGCTGTAGCAAAAGGACGCAGCATAATCCAAAAGGGGTAAAATCAAAGCCTCAGCCAATAATTTTAAAGAATGAACATCTAAAGGATCAGCTTGCTAAGAACCTAATTTTTCCACATATCTTCATAAAAACCTTTTTTCCCATAACATCGCCTGATAATTTATTATTAAACAACCCAAATCATATACAACAATTTTTGACTCAATTATCAAATTATTAATCCAAACCAAGAATCATCCTTCTTTAATTTCACTCTTGAAGCAAATAAAATAGCCTCTGTTTTACCTATGTGTTAAAAAGTTTATTATCCAATAAGCAGTGTACAGTGAACAAATTTCTTAACTGTGAACTCATGATTTCTTCCAGGGCCCCTGTCTTGATGAAATACTAATACTGCGGCATCATCAGCATAAAGATAGAGTTCCTGTGAACATGCTCCTTTTAAATCATTAATATATATAAAATAAAAAAATAATGGACCCAAAATACCTCCTCGAGGAACTCCACAATTGATTGATAAGGGAGCAGATAATACACCTTTTGTCAACTCTCTGGCTTCTATCATCCAGATAGGACTGACTCCACTATAGGGACGCTTTATTAAACTTCCTTTAACTTATTTAATAAAATTGGATGGTTTACAGTGTCAAATGCCTTCTGGAGGTCAAGCAGCTCCATCCCACATTATACAAACAACAAAGCAAAGCACTAATAAAAAGGCCATTAACACTGTATTTTTTATATATTTTTGAAAAATTCAAGATCCTGTAATCCCACAAGGCGCTTACCCTTTCTTAGTATGCATACTTTCACATATATTATTGAAACTGTTGAATATCTATTTCTGCATTGTAATTTGGTTAATCCTTTCTGGTCTGATGTGGACAACTGGAGAAAACTTTATATTTCAAGGTTTCCTTTCGATTTGCTGGAGAAATTTGGAGTACATTTGGACAACAAAGATGATGACTTAATTGCAAATCGTTTACTCAATTTACTTAAATTCTTCATCCACAAATGCAAAATTTTGAAAACAGCTCCTCAATTGATTGTGTTTAAAAAGGAGTTTGCCACCTATGTAGAATGTTTAAAAATAATGAAGGGTGAAAGGGCTAAACAATTGTATGGTATGTTTCTAAAATATGGTTTTATTCAACCCCTTACAGAGTTTTAGTTAGTTGTCTGCACGGTATGTTCTTTTTTTGTTAAGTTATTTTGTAAGTTTTTTTTTTCTAATTTCATTGTTTTCATATTTGATTCACTGTATATCTGACATGTCTCAGTCAGTAGGTGCAAAATTATGTTTGGATTGAGTTTGGCCTAAATTGTTATGGTTTTGAAAGGCAAAAAAAAAACCTTTCACATATATTTATTTTATTTAAATTTTGTGTTTTGTACACCTCCCTTCTTTCATTTTGTATTGTTCTGTACTTTGTTTTTTAAGCATAAATAAAATGTTTGTTATTATTTGTAGGGTTTACTGACTATGAGTGATTGAAATAAGGAATGTATGGCTTTATTTTGGTGAGAACCACATAGTGTATCTTTAGGGTTTAACAAAGAGAGATTTTCTGAATAGGAGTATCATAACAAACATTATAAATATATTTCTTTATTTTTGTCTTTTTTTTTACTTGCGCGAGTACTTTTATTATGAAATGTCCTCAATCAGTACATCTTCCCCTAGTGAGAGGGAGTGAAATGACACCCCTTTTAACACAAATTTTAATCTCTGTTCATTGTTGTCATGTGTTTTAATGGGCACATATCATTGATTAAGATAATTCAATAATTACTCGCCAGTCTGGAACTTAAATGAGCGCGTTTGTCTTTTAACGTGACACAGTGTCCTCCTCCGGTCCAGCTGGCGGCAGCTGCACCTGTTCGCGCGGTGCCACATCAGAACAGCGAGTCCTCCCGCACACCGGCAGCTTATGAAAGCTTCACCGGTTTAACCTCAATCGGTAGCAGAGCAATCGCCGGAGAAAGGGCTATTGTTTTACTAGATGTTAATCTAGAAGTCGAAATATGATATGTGCACTACACTGATCAAACGCAACGCAAGGATTTGACCGCTGAAAAAAAGCGGCCGACTCATTTATTCACGGAGCCTAACGTTCGAGATGACAGCGCGCTCTTGGTTATTGTCGTGTTAATCGAGATCTTCGTTATTAATTTTAAGCTAGAGTTAGGTTAAGCTGTGTTATTGATGGCCGTGTCGGGAGGCGCGCGGAGGATCCCGATGGGTGTGCGGACATTCAGCGAGTTTCTGGAAATAGCGACTGTCGGTCCGTGTCGCTCCAGCAGCCCGTATAAATACAGAGAGAGAATACAGCACTGGTCCATCAGGTAATTTACATGTCCATTTCAATAATTAAATACATTTTATACTTCTTATATTTGATGTGTTGCTGAACAAAGCGAGATTATAACAAACAACTATACAATAATTACCATGGTAACCGTAGTTTCCGCTGAAATACTATTTTGTTATTAATTTTTATTGCTGAATCCAGGAACAAAAATAACAGTACATAAAACACAATATCAATCAATAATTGGCATAGACTAAAAGCACATTGCAATATGAAACAATTCAAATATTAACATCATTATAGAAAGGGAAAACAGTAAAGGTTTTTGCAGTTACAAGTGTTAATTTAAGATTATTGAATGAAGATCTTAAATGCAGAGCATATTGTGATAGTTTTGAAAGCTTTCTTATTAGTCGATGCCCAAATCAACCTTATACACTTCTCCCCAAAGGCTGGTTTACTATTTGTGAATGCCGCTGAAATGCTATTACTACGGTTGTTAATTGAAAAAGTGTATAAAACAATAAATCTATAACGTTATTTAAATGGTGGGCCATGTGACCACAATTTTGCTTTAACAACTGTGTGGCTTTTAGAAATGTTTTAAAACCTCAATATTGTTAAATGGTACTGAAAAGCTACAATAAAAACACTGTACGAGCTTATTTGTTCATATGAAGTAGGCTAATGGTAAATAAAACGAGATTCTGAAGCGTTTTACTCTTTATTAATATGCTCTGCGTGTATTATAGAATATGATTTTGTTTGCACAGTAAGACTTAATCATGTTTTGTGTTTATTCTGTGTAGTTTACCATGGCTGGGAATGACTCATATTTGTTTAACTTCCCTGTTAATCATAAATATTTTATTGTACCATGGAAATTTCATGTTTTCTTTTTAGTTAAAAGGTGTTGCAGTTTGTATTAACTGCAGTACAGAAGTAAAAGCATGTGTGCATGAAAACAATAAAAGTAAGAAATCCTATATAGGAAAAATTATAGCTAAAAAATTGTATGTGTATATTAGACATGGGACGATAACCGTTTTAAGGTATACCGCGGTTTGGAAAAGTCAAGGTTTTAAACCCGTCAAAATGTTCTGTAATACCGTTCCTTAGGTATGTGTAAGATATTTTACATGCCTAGT